TATTTTCAGATAAATAATTAGATAAAAAAATAAAATTAGATTCTAAAATATTACCTAAAATATTATTATAATACTTAAAAAAAATAACTAATTTAAGAAATTATCTTTTATGAAATTTATATATAATAACTTAAAATATATCTTTTTATAAAATATATCTTTTTATAAAATGTATCTTTTTATAAAATATGTCTTTTTATATATATTATAAATACTATTTTCAACTTTTATAAAATCCTGAAAATAGAATTATAAGAAAAATATTAGCTATATATAAGAAACTAGAAATCCTTAAAATAAAATAAAAAAAGCTTAAGAATTTATAATATTATATATAAAATAACCGAGAAATTTATTATAATAAATACTAGTTAGCTAAATATTATTCTAAAAAAGCCTCGATTATATTATTAATAAGAAATATTAAACTTAAAATAAGAAAGCTTAAATTAAAATTTATAGATTTATTTAAGGTTCTTAAATATATTAATAATTTAATATATAAGTTAAAATTACTAAATATATCTAACTTTTTATATTTCTTTTTTTTAAAGAATATATAATTAAAAAGAATTAAAAACTATATTTATATTTTTCTAAAAAACTTTTGAAATTAGTAAAAAATAATAAAAAATAAGAATAAGAAATAGAAGCTATTATTAATTACTAGTAAAATAGTAAAAATAAGAAGTAATAGTATCTAATTAAATAAAAAGCCTGGCCTAAAGATTATAATATATAGTTATTTATTTTTTCTAATCTTAAAAATTTCAAGGAATTTCTAAAATTATATAACTGAAACTATAGCTTAGAATCCGAAACTATTTTTTAATAATTTTTTAAGATTAAAAAGAATTCTAGACTATTAAGAAAAAGGCTATTTAAAAGAAAGAAAGAACTTAAATAGCTAAAAAAAAAGGCTCGAAATAATAATAGAAATATTCTTTTTCTGAGATTTTTTATTTATAAAAATTATATTTAAATTATTAGAAAAAGATTTAGAATTAAGAAAGCTTTATTATAAATAGATTAGCTATAAGTATCTCAAATAAATAAATTCCTAATTACTAAAATAAAAATATTAAATACTAGTTCTATTTAGGATTTAATAAAGAATTAGATAATATTTTCCGGAATTCGCTTATTCTTTAATAGAATATAATTATAATATAATATTATTAGTATTAAGAATATTAAGAGAAATAAATAAGGAATTTATAATAGTTATATATATTTTATAAAAAGCCCAAACTTCTAAAATTAAATCCCGAATAACTATAGATATTATATTATTAATATTTAAAGTATTAGTAATAGATTATATAGAAATTTTAGTAATAATCTTAATAATAAGCTTAATGCCTTAAAAATAGACTTTGTAATATTTTTTTAGAGAATTAGTAAATATTTAAATATATTAGAAAAAACTTATTTTTAGAATACTAATTTATATAATATTCTTATTAGCTTTATTAAAACAGGAAATAGAATTCTAAAACTTAGTAAACTTTTTCTAGTTTTCGAAAACCTAATTAATAGATTTATCTTTAATAATATAATACTATTTAGAATATTTTTTAAGGAATCTCTTAAAAATTATAATAGTATCTTTTTAGAACTAGTAAGCCTTTAATAGATAATAAGACATCTAAAATTATATTAGCTTTAATAAATATTAAAATTAAAGAACGTACTAAGATATAAGATTTAGAACTCTTATTATAATAATTATAATTTTTTTATTAGATATTATAGTATATAAAATAAAGAAATTAATAAGCAAATACTTAAAACATTTTAAATATCTACTAATAATAAGAAAGAAGGCTATAAAATTATCTTTATATTTATAATTATATTAGTAAATAATAAAGCCAGAAAATATTATAAAATTAATTAAAAATAATTAAAGAAAACTTAGAGAAAAGTAAAACAAGAAGCTAGAAAATAATAATAAAAGAAGTTATTATATATATAATTATTAGAAAAAAAAAGTATATAGTAATATAAAGAAATTCTTTTATAAAAATAGAGAACTATTTGAATTAATTATTAGTTTTTATACTAGTTCTAATTAGAAATTAGTATAAATAATTTCTAGAATATTAGAAATATTTATATAAGTTTCTTATATAAATATTTTATTAAATTCTTTCTATAAAGCTACTTAGGTTATTCTAATACAAAATCTAATAAATAATATTAATTTTATAAAATAATACTTTAGTATTTTGAATTAAACTAATTAGAATATTTAGTTTCTAAATGAAATTATAATTACTAGCTAGTTTCTATATCTGAAATATAATTACTATTTCTTTTTACTTATTTAGCCCTAATATAATTAGATAATTTTTATATTTATTATTTAAATTATATTAGTAAAACTATTTTCCAAGATACTAGAAATTTATTTTAATTAAATATTTTATTAGAATAAATTAATAAATCTTAGAAATAAGATTCTAAAAGAAAAATATAGTTATAATATATATAGAGTTATATATAACTAAAAAAAAACATATAATAAACCTCGGATATTATAAATATTAATTAGGGAAATTAATAGTTCTTTATTATTATAACTAATTACTATTTATATTATAAATATTAGACATATAAATTACTAATTATATATATATTATTTATTATAGTTCTATAAAAAAAGCCTATAAATAAGGAATTTATAGTTCCTTATTTATAGCTCGGCCTAATAAGGCTTAGTATTCTAAATTTCCTAGAATATAGCTTTCCTTAGCTTTATTATATATAACTATTATATAATTCCAGATATTAGATACTTAAATACTAGATACTAGATACTAAACTAAGATACTAAATTCTAGATATTAAGCTAAAATATTAAATACTAGATATTAGACTAAAATACTAAATACTAGATATTAGGCTAAGTAAAATATAGAATTATAATATTATTAGGGCCTCCTATTTAGAAAAGGCTTCCCTAGACCTTATAGAAGAAATAGAGATTAGTTCTATACTAAATTTAATATTATAGTTTTATAACTTACTAATATATTCTATTATTTTATTATTTACTAATAAATATCTTATATTTTTAAATAATATATAATTATTTTATTAAAATATTATTTATTAAAAATATATATAATAAAATAATGAGATATATATTAAAGTTTAGTTTAATAATAATAATATTAGTTATAAATTAGTTATATTATTCTTATTTTTAAATAATATTAGTTAAAAATTATATAATAATAAAGTAATTATTATTTTATTTAATATAAATATTATTATAATTATTATAATATATAATACTAATAAGAATTAGATTAGAATTAGCTAGATATATAAAATCGAAATCGAGAAATATAGATTAAAGTTATATATTATAACTTTATATAAAGCTAATATATAGGCTTATATATTATTTATAATTATTTAAATTCGAGGCTTTTTTAAAATTCTTTTCTTTTCTTTAGTTTTAAATTATTAAAATATAGATAATCTAATTATATCTTTTAGGCTCTAATTTTTATATTTATAATAAATATATTATAATTAATATAAATCTAATTATTTCAATTATTAAAGTATTATAAAATTAAAGTTATTAAAATTATTCTTAAATACGTTCTAGAAATTATTATTAATTAATCTTTTTATTTTATATTAAAATAGTTTAATATTAAAATAATTTAGAACTTTTCTATTATTATAAATAATTAAATTAATATTACTTTTTTATTTCTTTATTTATATATATTTATTATATTAAATCTCTAATATTTTTAAAAGATTTAGATATAAGATTAAATATATTTTAAATATTAGAAAAATGTATTTATTTATAAATAAAAGAATTTTCAATTATTATTTAGAATTCTTTTTTGAATTCTTTTAATACTAAGCCTTTTCTAATATATATAATTTAAAATAAAAGAAGCTTAAAAGTAAAATATTTTATAATAAGAAGTTTTTAAAATAAAATATCGCGATTTTAAAAGAATTTAAAACCTTTAAAGCTTAAGGAATTTAGCTTAAAAATAAAGCTAATATTAAAAATAAAGTTAAAATATTTTAAATATATTCTAAAATATATTCTAAAATATAAGTCATTTTACAAATTAGAGTATTATATAAATAATTAAAATAATAAAATAATAAAATAATTAAATAACTAATGATTTATTAATTAATAAAAACTAAAGTTTTTTTTCTTAACTATTAAATATCTTTTTATAAAGTTAATTATTTTTATTATAAGCTATTATATACTTTTTTAATATAATTAATTTTCTTTTTCTAATTTATATATATAAATTAATTAATATTAGTTTACTAGTAATATATAGTATTATTATATAATATATATAAAATATTTAATATATTTATTAATAAAGTAATTAATATTTAGAAATAGAAAATATAATATTATAATATTAATATACTTTTCTTAAATTTACTAAATTTAATTAGAACTAGTTTATTTATTAAATTATATATATAATACGAGATTATATAACTTTTAAGGTAATAGTTATTACTATAACTATAATTATACTAATAGTAATAAAAGAAGTTATTAATTATAATAATAAGAAAATAAAGTATATATTAATATTATATGTTTTAATTACTAAAATAAAATTTAAATTAAATTAAATTAAAGAAAGAACTTTAATAATAAAAGATTTTTAAAGTAATATAAATTTATTATTAATTTTTAATATTAAAAATTGAAAGTTAATTACTTATTTAATAATAATTATTAAATAAGTTATAATTTAGCTTAAAAATTACTTTATATAATAAAAAGAAAACTTATTTTATATATTTCTTTTTTCTTATTCGAAATATTTATTTATATTTAAATTTAAGAAATTTATAAGTCTAATATAATAACTTATTTAATATCTTGATTATAATTATTATTATTCCTTGAAATAAGAATAAAACTTTCACGAGTTATTCTCTTCTTAGACTAAAGAAACGAAATGAAAGAATAAGACTTAGAAATTATTAATTAACAAATTCAAATCAGTCGAAACTGTTTCAGTTCGAAGCTTTTTGCTTCTAGAACCCGTAGATCCGCTCTTCTTCACGTTTCATTCTTCCTCCCAAATAGTGCACTGACATCCAGCATTGACCTCCGCTATATTGTCTAAGGATGAAAGGTTTTATCTCGACTAGCTAGTCCTACTGCACAATTTCTTCATCGGATTCCTCTTCAGCGCCTTGCGCCTCCGCAAATCGACCAAGCTCTTCTGCTACCTCTTCTGATTTTCCTTGATCATGCAGTACGCAGATTAACTCCCCCAAAGCATCATGGGTATCAGAATGATCGTAGTCAAGTGCCTCCACTCGTGAACGTAGCACAGTGCGGAGCAGATCCTCGGCCTCCGGAAATCTATGCCACACTCTCATAATGTGACCAACTTCAGCCATTGATTCCAGAGTGAAGGGATGCTTCTCTCCCAACTTAGTCTTCCTAATCTGCAGAGCCTCATCGTGCAAGCGCATTGCTTCTTCTAGACGACCTTGATGCGCATAATTCTGTGCAAGGTTGTACATGCTCGTGGCAATCAAGAGGTTACCCGGCTCGAATAATCTTTCCCTGCTATGGAGAACTTCGCGCAGCAGCTCTTCTGCTTCCTCATATCTCTCTGTCCTTTCTAGGACCAGTGCGAGGTTGTTTCTTCCAATAAGGGTGGCCGAATGATCGTGGCCTTGTACCTTCTCGCCCATGGTCAGAGCGTCTCGTGTTATCTGTTCAGACTCGTCGTATCTCTCCATGTCCATGTAAAGCAAGCCGAGGTTACTAAGGGCAGTTATCGTATCCTGGTGCTCCTCGCCAAGTGTGCGTCTACTGAGTTCAAGGTCCTCGAGAAAAAGAGGTTCGGCTCCTTCATAGTCCCCCAACTCCTGCAACACACTTGCTAGGTTGCTCATGCTTGTAAGTGTCTGTGGGTGCTCCCGGCCGAGGACCTTCGTTCTTCCCTCTAGTGCACGTTCGTTCCACCACACCGAGTCGTTGAGATGACCCATGTCTTGCGTGATTGAGGCCACGTTAGCCATACTTTCGTACACAGCAGGATGCTTCTCTCCAAGGACGACTAATCTCCCTTCATAGTCGCGAGTTGCCATTGCTCCAGCCTCATCATACTCCCCGAGTGATTGTAAGACAGTGCTAAGTTGTCGGGCGCTCTCTAAAGTATCTAGGTGATTGGGACCTAACAGACGGACTCTCTGCTCAAGCACTATCTTGTGCAAAGACTTGGATTCGTCAAATCTATCATTTTCCTCCAGGATGGTCGCTAGGACATTGGTGCAGCGTAAGGTCTCTTGATGACCCGGTCCAAGGCGTGCAGTATACATGTCCAATGTTTGTCTGACGGCCTGCTCTGCTTCAGGGAAGCGTCCCTGATCCATCATGATCCCGGCCAGTATCATGCGCAAGTTCAGCACTCCGACATGGTCAGGCCCTAAAGCCGCCGAGAGATCATGGATTTCTCTCTTATATTCTTCCTCGACTTTGTGCAGAGAAGGCTCTTGGCGATATTCTAGCCCATACTCAAGGCTCTGAAAATTGCCATTCCGGACAAGTGCAACAATGGCTTTGTTCTCGTAAACAGTATCCTGCTCGTCCCGAAGAAAGAATATGGCAGATGATAATTCGCTCGTTGGGCTTTCAGACACTTTTAGCCACTTTTCTGCTTCCATCTCATTTCTAGAACATCCGAAGCCGACAGAATAGCAGATTGCTAACTGGAACGCAGCATTCTGTCGAACTTCAATGTCAGGATCGTGATAAGTGCGTTCTACAAGGCATTCCTTGATATGCTGACGCAGTCGATAATGGGATAGCAACAGCTGCAAGAAGTGGAGGGTGATCTGGACCAAGCCTGTTAGCAGTTGAATGCCCACTGTTGATATGCTCTTACTTTGAAGTCTCTTGGTGGCCGGACAGAAGCATCTTGAATTGGATCTCCCGTAATTTCATCAACACAGGGGGCGGCATCAACAACTCGGCTCGTTCGGAGATTTCCCAAGCACGTAATAATATCTTGACATCTCTTAAGGCCGTTCTGCAGAAATGTAGCCTCAAAGAAGGATCGCCAGAAACTTTGGTCCCTTTTGTCCATATTTGCTTCCATATCAATCATGCGTGTAGCCAGTTCAGCAATTTGGCCATCTTTTTTCCAGTCCTGGACAAGTGCAATTCCATGCTCGGAGAAGAAGATATCTGCATCTTGTGCGCCTTGCTGGGAGGCCAATTTGTCGTCGAACAGCCACCATAGACAGACTAGCCCCATGGAATATGCATCGGCTCCTTTTGCTTCCTCGAGTGACCAAGTGTGTACGTGATGCAGGACCTCTGGAGCGTTCCAAGGCTTGGACATAGGCAAAGCTACGGAACCATCATGTTGTAGGACCAAGGACGAGTATCCAAAATCTGAGACTCGAGGCAAAGGCATCCCATTCTCATCTTTGAACACGAGAATATTCTGTGGTTTAATATCTCCGTGTATAATATCTTGCCTTGTGGTTAGTCAAGTGCAAAGCAGCGTAATTATCAAGTCGAATTTACCGGCGTTATGGAGCGCGATCACAGCATCTATGACGTCGATCGCAAATGACATTCGATCTGTCAAACTCATTGCCTGGCCTTCCCCACTAGTCATGAACTTGTGCGAATCTCCATATTCCGCCCGTTTGAAGACAAGGACCGGTCGCAAAAACTTGTCGGACATTGAAGGATCCCAACACACCCCCTCCAAATCCAACAGGTTCCTGTGCTGCCGGACGACTGGATGACACAGAATTGTACATTCACGAATGAGCCATCCGTACAGCGTATCATCCTCGACTGATCTATAGCGTGATATTGGGCGCTTGAAGGCAAAGCTCATCTGCAAGTTGACGAGCGACTGTCGAACCTCAGCGGTTGCGCCTGCACCGAGAATGTCGAGAGCACTCTGCCACGTGATGGCAAGGAGATCCACCCCGTTGTACTGCGCAGTCTCGAGAAAGGACAATAGATCGCATCGCAGTCGATTCCGTCGGGCATCTTTCCGGATTTCTGAGGTGAAGAAAGAGTTTCCTCCGAATAGGGACGAAGAGGCGGTGCCACGGATCCCGCCTCCACGCGCAGGCGCAAAGTGTGAGAGGGAGTATGCACCCTGCATAATGCAAGCTACACTATCAAGATACCCAGAAGGTGCATCTGAGCGGGATCGATCTGCCGAAGTTTTTTAAAAAATCAAAATCATTCGCCTTAGCTTCGTGCTGCCGCCTTGGAAACCTTCCAAGCTTTTGATACTGTAAGCGAACAGCGGTGTAGACTTGGATATTCATAACCTTACTTGTCAGGGCGTTCGGGACCAGGCTGCGGATGAAAAGCCGGCCGCCGCCAATCAAGTATGCACACTCACTGTGTTGTGTAACGCTGATCTGCAGTTCACCCCGCCAGCACGCCCCGCATGAGATTAGAATCAGGCAGCGAAATAGAGCTAAACAAAAAAGCGGGATTGTCTATGGCAAAGCCATCTTAAGGCGAGAGAGACGAGCCTCACGCGTACCATATATCATCAGCCTCTCTCCTCCTTTCTATTCAAACCAACTGCACCAATAACACGCCCCCCTCCCCCACACTGAACAGCACTACGAATACTTGCACGCTTCATCTTGGCTTCTGCTCACCGGCACCTACCCTTCTCGCCATTTCCGCTCCTCATGCCTGGCACCACGATCATTCTGCAGAAGCGTTACGTGCAAAGGCATGCGCTGCTTCAGCTTCTGAACAACCTTTTCCCTGGCCAATACAACCTTAGAGTATGTGCCTGACCCATTGCATGAGGCGAGCGGTGTTGACTGGTGCTAGGATGAGGATGATAACATAGTCATCACTGCTCCGAGAGACCTCACCACTGTACTTCCCCGCCTCGAAGACTAGCTCTTCAGGAACAACTGACACAATTCCATGCAGACCGAACGTGAATCCTTCATGCGAGCCGAATGAATCTACGAACGAGGCTTTCCGGCTAGGTGGGCGCGGCGCACGAAGTTGGAAAAGGCCTCTCATCCGTCCCTTTCATCGCTTCCTCCGTTTACCTGGAACGGCCGTGGACGGTGGTCCGATTCTCAGTCATGGAGTCACACTTGGACCACGTCCACAAAGCGTTGGTGAGAGAGCGAGGGAAAAACAATACAATGCGAGACTATTCACGGAATCCCGACGGGCTATCAGCGATTCTTACCCCAGAAGTGGTGCGCAACATTGTCTCCGAGGCAGGCGTGCAAGCTCATGAGATTCCCAAAATTGTGACGACGGTATGCGAACAAATGCTTCTTATATTTGCAATTCTCATAGATATACACAAACCACAAGCGATCCACATATTTATGGAGGAAGGCATAGTCGACGCCAAGATACCTTTGGAGCTCACTGCGATTCCTTCGACAAGTATTGATCAAAGAGCCTTCTATGATGCGCAGTGGACGTTTACTCCGTATAGATTGAAGAGGGGTGTTCATCGTCATATACGGAGTGAGTACCCCCTCCCCATTGCGGATGAGGAGCGGCTCCCACAAATGGATGGAAGTTTTGGAATGATCTCAAGAGTACGACTGAGTCCAGAGCTTGACGAGTTGTCTCCGTCACATCAAAAGGTAAGCAAGTGAAATTCGAAGCCTGCAAATGCATCAGGTATGTTTTGTGTGGCAGACAGCTAAAGCCATATCCAGGGGGGTGTTTTGATCCTCAAGCGTATAGCGTCGGTGTCTGCGAATGCAAACAATACCGAATACCAGTTCCGAAAAGAGATCGACTGCCTCCAGATCCTTCGGACGCTCAAGAATCCGAACATTGTGGAATTACTGTGTTCATTTACCTACATGAACCATTGTCACTTGATCTTCCCTCAGCTTCCTATGAATCTTTCGGAGTTCTTAAAGCGGAAGGAGAGATTTGGGGATTTCGTCTACGACATCACATTCTATAGAGCGCTCCAAGGTCTATCGTCGGCGCTCGATGCAGTCCATAACCTGAAACTCAGTCTACGCGATCACGATACTGAACTCCAGCGAATAGGCTACCATCACGACCTGAGGCCTGCCAATATCCTCGTCAGTCAAGATACCTTTCTGTTGGCTGATTTTGGACTGGCAAGCATCAAAGACATTGAACAAGGCTCGAAGACCTATTTCAAGGAGACCAAGGGAGATTACTTTGCTCCGGAATGCCAAGCAATCGACTTCACCAACCAGGTTGTCAGTCGCCCAATTGACATATGGGCTTTCGGATGCATGATCATTGACATTGCTACCTATATCAAATGTGGCCCCAGGGGATTGCGGAATGCAATCGAGAGCAGAGGGATCGAGGTCCTGCCTGGCTGGACTGATTTTCGGTTCTATCACGATGGAGGCCTGCGACCCGCGGTGAGAGCCCACATGGACGACCTGGTACGAGCGGACACTGATGCGGGAGAGATCGAAGGCTTACTATACGTGGTAAAGCTGATGTTGGAAATCGAACCTACAGCGCGCATTACATCAGTGGAAGCATTGTCCCACTTGTTGTACATCACTACCAGAGCTTGTTTCTACAGGGCTACGAAATCCGTGGAGGCGTACTTTACATGCCTTGAAATCGAGCCATCTGGTGGACCATCAAAACTGGATATGCGATTTGCTTTCACGAAGCTGAGGGCCTGGGGGGACTTGCTAGGCTTCAGTAGTCATACCGTACGCTGCAGTGACTTTGACGCTGTTGTTAGCGCGTTGGATGCGAGTGAGTATGCGATGCAAACAGACCTTCTGTATATCGAGTCCCAGTTTTCCCTTGCTTGGAATCAACGCACTTTGCCCAAAGCTGGCGGTGAACCTGACCCACATTTTGAACTTGAGGTCAGTTTCGGCAAGGTAGTCCATAAATTGGTGCAATATCTCAACAAAAAGTTACAACGCCAGCTCGAATCAGTGTGGGAACGTCATTTGCTCGCCACGAGTAATTTGGAGAGTACATCACGCTACGGCGCTGCTTTAGGGGAGACTGATCCTCGCAATCAGAGACTGGAGGCAATGGCGGAGATGAAGAAGCTTCAGTCTGCCTTCTCCGAACTGACATCCCTTGAGCCGATCTACGAAAACCTTCTCGTCCCAGAACAGAACCTGAAAAGAGAACGGGACGTGGGTGGCCACATTTTTGGTCGTCTGGTGGTCCCCGGCAATGAGGACGAGGAAGTCTTGGTGGAGAGATTCCCCTATAGCGCGAGCTGGAAGAGCCAATCACCTGAGGAGACGATGGTTCGAATCGGATTTCTGGCCCACCTTCTTTCCAAAGAGCAACAACCCCTCAGCTTCCAAACCCTCCACTGCCGAGGCTTCACAATGTCAGATTCCGAAGCGGCGTTTAAATTTCTTTTCGAACTTCCCAGATCAGACGGCAAGCCGACTTGTAACCCAAAGACTCTGCACAAGCTACTCAGTATGGGCCAAGCGGGAGAACACCATGGCTGGAAACCCGATCTTCAGCAGAGGATCCGTCTTGCCCAAAGACTTGTAAGCACCGTGCATGCTCTTCACACTGTATCCTGGCTTCACAAAGATATCCGCTCGCTCAGCGTGATGTTTTTTCCATCCGCCAATGAGAAGTTTGAAGACATTGACCTCTCCGCATTCTACCTCGTCAACTTCCGAACCAGCCGTCCAGATGGCATTATATGGACTACCGTAGGACCAGATCCAAACGCCGACTCCCGGCATCACCATCCGGACTATGTTAGCGAGGATTCTATTGGTACGGATCAGCCTCTCTCAGAAAATGCGATTCTGCTAACGTGCTCAGAAATAGGAAATCGGTTTTGTAAGGCGTACGATATATATAGCCTCGGTATCATACTTCTGGAAATTGGCGCCTGGAAGCCGATAAAATTATTCCATGAGCGTCATGCCGGAGAGTCTCCACATGCCTTTCGCAGGATCTTGTTGGATAAATATGTACCCAAGCTTGTCAAAGAGGTAGGGCTGAGGTATCAGCAAGTAGTTCAACGGTGTTTGGGTGGCTATTTTGATGGGGATATAGATGAGAGCGCCACATATAGGGATGTCACATCGTTCTACAAGGAAGCGGTAGAGCCAATATCAGAAATCTTCGTTGGGTAGCGCAAGAACATGTCTAGAGGAACACTGTACCCTTGATCGACGCCTAGCCGGTCTTTCGTTCCCACAGCTTCGCAGCAAGGAGGGTGATGATAGTGAGGCTAAAAGTTAGCAGTATATAGATACCTATCAATGTTCCATACCCTCCTGCACGGCCCTTGGTATTTGAGATCGGCTGAACAAGCTCCGAGCTGAATACGGACTACGGAAAGTGAGTTCTGACCCCTTATATGGCGGAGAGCACTCACGGATAGCAGAGTTGCTGGGAGATACACTAGTGCAATGATGCTGATCGTCTTTATCGTCTTAGAGTCTTGCCGGGTCTGATCCGCAGTGGAGGCCATGAGCTTATTCTCGTTCGACATTGACCGAGAGATGTTCTCCATCGAGACGTTGAGATTGTATGTCATGTGATTCTGGCGAAACTCCAGAACTTTGGTGGTCTAGACGGTGTTAGCGATAAAGAAGCTTGACTAAAGCAGCAGGAACTACTTACCAGGAAATCAATACTCTGAGTTGACTCAAGCAAACTAGATGCTTTGGCTTTATGCATCTTGAGGACATCGACGTGCTGGCCAAACTCCAGCAGTATCTCACTACTTCTGTTACCATTCCTCTCATCGCCGTCTTCTTGGCAGTAGCACTCCGTAGCATGCGCCATCAGCGACTCGGTAGTTGAGATGCATGATCCGAGCAGCAGATTCACACGTCTGATCTTATTGCGCAGAACCTCGAGCTTCTGACTTTGCTGGAAGTCAAGTGGTAGGCCTTCCAGGTCTTGATCGACGCGAGTGAAACAGGAGACGTCCCTCTGATCCTCAGTTGAGTAATGATCGCGTAGTTGTTGTGGAGCATGCTTACCATGGTAGATACGAGATCACTGAGGTAATTGATATACCACCTCCATTCACTTGCACAGTAGTGCCGGATAAGCCAGTGTATCAGAAGAGGAGAATGTGGCTTCGCTTCTCTCACTATGCTCGCTATAACTGCTTTGGGCAGCTGTATGAACACCCATGAACATTTCTTGCGTTCATAATCGTATGAATGGTACACAGCTACTTGCCGAAATGACCATGGATCCTTGAGTCCGTCACGCCCGTGTCGTTCAACAAAACGAATGTTGTAACAGATGTCTATACATGTTAATGAATGTGGAGGCTCGGAGGCCATTGCGTACATCTCGGAAGGTGTCTCACCTGAACGTCGAAAAGCTCCCGTACTGTCATTCTGCGCACCCCAGATCTTTTGGCGATGACATGTCGTAAAGTATTCATCATCATCCGTAGTTCTGGCTCCAAAAGCGGACACAATCTCGGCAGACTGAGGCATGATCTGCAGTCCATGGCATAACTGACGGAACAAGCCGTGGGACACATTCAGCCGGCTCCATGTATGCGCTTGGGATATAAAGCTAGAGTCGGATCAATAACCTTCCACGATATAAATGGCCCAGACCCACAAGAACCATTGACTGTTATCGGTGTTCTGATATACCTAACACAGTATTCAGTGGTGCAATTCTCATAGGGCCTCCAAAGCTAGGTACCTCTAAAACGGATTGGCCGCCATCCATGCCCTGGCCGGTGATACTCCTTCCAAACTCTGTATGTCCTTAGTACAGAGCGCGGGAGATGGTTTAGAAACCCGTACGAAAACTTTGGGACGATTCGCCAGGGCATGTCTTGCGGACTTGCACGTCTGTTTTCGACTCATCAGAAACGAAGATCTGATCGCATTTCCGGTAGAGTGACTGCTCTTCTAGGGAGGCAGCGTCAGAAAACAATAAGCTTGAGTCAGAAGATTGAGACATGATATCTGGAAGAAATTAAGTGTAAACGAACTGCCGATTTGGAAGAATGGTAAAGAGTAGGTTGCCAGCAGTTGTGGTGTGTTACGAAAACCGTTAGGCCTGGACCTTGGGCTCGGTTCGAGCTAGCTCGCACAGCGGAACCCGAAGCGGGAGTCACGAGCATGTGCGAATCACGTGATGTATTGCACAGGATCTCAAAGTAATCGACATTTAAGATTCGCCCTAGACCAAAGATATACTTTTGAGCTTTTTAACTTTTAAGAGAACTAAGGAACTGGCTCCTACTAGATCTAGATAATAGTTTCTCGATTTTATAATTAATATACTTTTTTAAAAATAGTAATTAATTTAAAAGAGATATATATATATTAAAATATTATAAAAGCTATTATATATAATTATAAATTAAAGAGAATTGAGTTATTTCAATAGTTTTGAATAACTTTAATAATAAATATTTATAGATTTAATTCTTTAATAGTAAAATTTCAGTTTTATTTAATAAAAAAAATTAATATTAATAAAATCTAAATTTAAAATCTAAAATTTAAATATTCAAATATTATTTAATTATTTAAGATTAGATTATTTTATTATTAGTTCTCGAATAATAGTCTCTAATAATATTTATTTTAATTAAAATTATAACTATATAACTTATTACAAATATAATATTTAGGGCTTGAAAAGCAAGATAGAAGATCTCTTATAAAAACGATTTAAAGCTAAATAAAAGAAGGCTAGAATATAGGAGGCTATAGACATAAGTATACCTATAGTATACTAGCTTTTAAGGGGCTTTATATCCTAAATATCTCTATATATATTCCTATACTAGCTATTAGGTAACTATATTAGGTAACTAGAATATTATGTGAGGCTCCCAATATAGCAGGGTGGTACGCAAGTAGTCAAGGAAAAGGGGTGGAATATAGGATAAAGTATGGAGTGAAGCGTGGAAGTATAATTGATTCCAAGAACTGGTTCTCAGTAATAAACTAATCAATGCCCATTTCCAAAGCTCGCATGCCTCCATATATAGAATCTAGTATTCCGCTGGATGTACGGAAGCACTAGTCCCAATTTGGGAGTGCGATCCCACATAAGCACTAGCCTAATTAGGCTACCAAATCCAGCTGAACGCTTGCTATTAATGTACGTATTACATATTAGAACCTGAATTATAATATAACTTGGCTTATTATTTAATTATAATTTCTTTAATTTATATATTATTTAAATTTAATATTAAGTAATTTAGAAATATAAAAATTATAACTTAATTAAGCTAATTATTATAGAATTAAATTAAAGATATTAGTTATAAATTTTTAAAATTTCTTTAAAATTACTTTTATAATTTATAAATATTATTTCTTTTTTAAAATAATTATAATAAATTTAATATTTATTACATTTTTATATTTTATTTATATTATATTATATTTTATTTTAGTTAATTAATATTAGCTAAAAATTAGTTTATATAAATATAATATATATAAAATTATATATAATTCAAGAATATATAATAAATCTCAAATATTATAGGTATTAATTAGAGAGATTAATAGCTTTTTAATATTATAATTATATTATTATTTATATTATAGGTTTTAGGCTTATTAATTACTAAATATATATATATATATTATTAGAAGCTTTTTTAGATTTTATAAAAGAAATAAAAATTACTTTTATACTAAATTTAATATTATAGTTTTATAACTTATTAATTTACTCTATTATTTTATTATTTATTAATAAATATTTTATAAGCTAATTTATTTGTTTTTAAAAGAAATAATTTAATAAATAATTATATTTCGAAATCTATAAAATATATAATTATTTATTAAATCTATTTTTTATAAAAGAAATTAATTATAATATAAGTAATAATAAAAACTCATTTAATACTTTTAATAGAGTTTTTTAAGAGCTTTTAAAAGCTAGTAATAAAAATAAAAATAATTCTAGTAATAATTAAAATATTAAAATTAATATTTGAATTATTATTACCTAAATTATAAAATAGAACTTATATATTAAAGTTAAAGTATTCTAATAAAAGTAAGAATTAGTAAATATAATTAATTACTATATTCTATAATTAAAATAATATAAAAGTATTTTCCGGAATATTTTATAATTAATTATATTTTATAGAAATTCTATTTATAAATCTATTTTATTTTCTTTAATAATTCTTATTAAAGAATTTCCTAAAATAGAATTAAAACTTGTTTTCTTTTTTAATATAATAAGTTTTAAAAGTAATTTTAATACTACTTATTAGAAGCTATTATATAATATTCTAAAAATATATTTAAATTGAAAAAAAGCTTTTTAAGATTTAAATATTTGATTTATATTATAGAAAATTTCTTAAAAAATAGAAAATATTTATATTTTTCTAGAAAGCGGTTTTTAGAACCCAATTTTAAACTTATAATAAATATTTTTCTAGAATTAATTCTATTATAAATACTTTTAGAAACAAATTTTATAATATTTAAAAAACTATAATAAAATAAAGCTTATTATTATATAAGATTTATTAGAAGTAATTTAAGGCCTATTTAGCTAATATATTTTAAATATCTTAAATCTATTAATAAAAAACTTTTAAAAAACTTCGCGATTTTTATTAGAAAAATAATAAAATAATAATCGAATTATATTTTTAAATAATTAGTTTCGAAATTAACTAGAACTTATATTTTAAAAAAAATCGGGTTCGAATTCTTAATACTATTTTATTTAATTATAAAACTCATTAAATATTTATTTTTATTTTTCTAAGAAATAAGATAATATTTATTTTTAAATAATTTAAAAAGGCTTAAAAAATAAAATATATTATTTATTCTAAATTAAGGAAAATAAAAATAGAAAAGTTTAATAAAAATAATTCTATTTTTAAAAACTTTAATTTAGTAAATTCTAATCTATAAGGCTATTAAAAAAGAAAAAATAAATTCCGAAAATTATATAAGAAATCTTTAAATAATATTTTAGTTTTTTTTAGGCCTTATTAAAATACTAGTTCTATTTTATATATAATTTATTAGATTTATAATTAGAAAAGAAACTTTTTAGGAAATATAAAATATTTTAAATATAATAAATAAGTTTAATAGAATTCTAATAAAGCTAAAACTATAAAAAAATTAAGATATTTATAAAAGCAAATTTATATTATTATTATAAAAAAGTATTCTAAAAGAGATTTTTTTAAAAAATAAAAAATATTTTTTTTTTTTTTAAATATTTAAATATTTAATAAATTATAATAAAATAAATATATTTAAAGCTTATATAATAAATAATAAAAAATATTAAATATTATAGATATAGTATTTAGAACTTAGAAAGTAAGATAAAAGATTTCTTATAAAAATAATTTAAAGCTAAAAAAGAGAAAACTAGAATATAGGAGACTATAAAAAAGTATATATATCCTATAGTATACTAGTCCCGAAGGGGCTAGTTCTCTAAATATCTCAAATATATTCCAAATATATTTCTTTAATAAGGCGGCTATATTATATATATTTAGAAGATATCTAGTATCTAGTTAGGTATTTCAGATATTAGATATCTGGGAATTATAATATTATTTTTTTTCTTTAGAATAAGCTTATTTCCGAGCTTTATAAAAGCCGTTAATTTATTTAATTTCATATTATTTTCTTTTCTAAAATAAACTAGTATCTCGGATATAGATATTATATATAAAAGGCTAGTATCTTTATTATATAACTTAGAAGAATTTATTATTATTTTTATATAATTCTAGATAAGTATTATTTTTTATATAATCTAGCTAATATTATAGGTTTTATAAAAGTTCTAGTATATTAATATTATTATTATAGAAGTTTTATAAAACTAGGAGGCTATTATTTAATACTAAAGCTAGATATTAAACTGGATTCTTATTCTAATTAACTTATTAAATTTTAAATTTCAGTTTATTTCTTATTAGCTTAACTATAATAATTCATTTAATATTATACTTTTATTTATTATTCTCTAGTATTAATAGAAGTAGTTCCGGGTTTATTTAATCTAGTAAAGAATTCTAGAAGTCTTTTTATAATTTCTTTATATAAAAAACTAGATATATCTTTATAGTTTCTAATAGCTTTAGAAGAAACAAATAGCTATATTATTCTAGAATCTCAAATAGGTTCTTTATTTAGTTCTCTAGCTTCTAGTTCAGATAATTAGATTTCTAGTATTTTATAGTAACCTATATTTTATTTCTAACTTTGAAATTAATTAAATAATAATATTTATTAGCTTATATTATATATTATTCTTATATTTACTTTATATATTCTTAAATAAATTACTATAATTTATATAATTAATTTATTAATACTTTAGCTTTATTTCTATTTAGTTTTTTTTAAATAAACTAGCTTTAATAAGAAAGTTCTAGTTTAGAGAAATATAAGACATATAGCTCTTTTTAATTATAAATAAAAACTAGCTAATAGTTTTATATTAAAAAAAGGCTTATTAATAATTAATTATAATAATCTATTTATTTTAGTTATTCTAATAATAGTTAATATATAAATATAATTTCTAATTAAAATACTAATTAATAATTTCCGTTTATTTGTCTATTTAAGAATAATTAGTTATTAAAAGCTTAAGCTTTATACTAATTCTTATATAGAATTCTCGATTTAATATAATTATTTCTAAAATATTTATTTAGTAAATTATATAAAACAAAAATAGAAGTATTAGCTATTTAGCTATAATTATATCTTATATAGGAATTATAATTGAGTACTTAAATAAGTAATCTATAAATATAATAACTATATTATAGCCCGATTTACTTTCTAAATAATTCTTGAAATCTATAATAATATATTACTAGAAGTAATTAGAAACTAGAAAGAAATAAAGTAAACTAGACTTTTTATACCTAAATATATATAATCTTTTATAAGTATAGTAATTACTATAGTATTAATTAATATTCTTATTTATAAATAGCTAGTAATATTACTTTTTTAATAGCTAATAAAGTTTTATATAT